GGAGGCCGGGGCAGCAGCGGAGGTACGGGGGGCAGCGAACGCATACAGTGGTCTGTGTCCCCGCTGTCCCTGCCAACACCGGTGTGGAGTGCTGCGGGGATTTGGAGGGACACAGGCCGCTGCAGCCACAGTTCTCCTAAATGTACCGGCGAGCCACCAGCAAAAACAATTTCAAAAATGTCCATGCACATTATCTTAAGTGTTGCATATGCATGGAAAATTTGTTTAACACCAGTTATATCAAGAAACTTTCAGCTTTGTGTAGAAAACAGTTTATAACAAGGATTTGCGGATAAGTAAGCTTAAGCTAAATGCTAACAATATATATTCAGTGCAGAGTCTAGATAAGATCTCACACAAATGCCAATAATGGAGGTAAAGAGAGTCACAGCTGCATATAGTAGAACAGGATACAACTACATCCTTGCCTGCTCAGACGGATATGAAAAGCATCCCAAAATCACAGCATGGCCTTTGTCAGGTAAATGGTCAGCAAAATAAACATGTGCAGACTTTGAAATTACTGCTGGTATAAATGACTGAAAGTGTCCCTTGGAAATGTGTTCCATGAAATGTAATAGACAAGCGCTGGATATTAAAACTTCTCGAAGTGTTAGTGAAGAGTAAGGATCCAAATATAAAGTTCAAAACACAGTCAGTGAGGTTCATAGCCACTGTATATCTCTGATATCCACATAACTGTTTCCGAAGAATTTACAGCTGTGTCCTAAGCATAAATGCTATTATAGGAGTACCACAGGCAGAGTCCAAAATAATAAAGATGAAAAGCAATCAATAGATTCACAGCAAGCATGCACCACCATGAACTTTCACACATGAACAAACAGTGTATAGTACTTGTGGTCACAATCCCACAACTTGTAAAATTTACAGCATTTTACTAGCTGAATCGCTCTGTGTATAATTAGAGTCCGTGACCAAACTGCAGAGCAAAGCAATGAAAGATACTGAAATGTGTGGTTTTAGCCAACTCCATTGAAGCTTTGCTTTCAGGATAAGAGCGGATTTCAACCTGCCTCGGGTCTACTGCACATAATTGTTTGTGTACATCTTGCTCGCTATCCTGCCAGGCTTCCCACTCCCTGCTGTTGATGAGAATTTCCATAACATAATGCAACCTCCACCATGCTTTACAACAGGGGTAGGCAAACTCCAGCCCTCCAGCTGTGGTGAAACTACAAATCCCATATTGCATCTGCCTCTGCAAGTCATGACTGTTGTTGACAGAGTCTTGCAAAGTTTAATAGGATTAGTAGTTACACCACAGTTGAAGGGCTGGAGTACTACATATATTAGGGGGAATTTGCTAAAACTGGAGCAGGCAGAATCTGGAGCAGCTACTCATAGTAAATTACCAGCTTCAGTTCAACTTTGAAAATGAAAGCTAGAATCTGATTGATTGACATAAACAGCTTTCTCCAGATTCTGTTCCTTTTGTGATGCCTCTTGATGCGATCATCTTCTTCCTTCCACTCGTTTTCAGCAGTCCCTCCAGTGCTGGTGCTGGTCTCTGATCCAACGCAGACTGCTGTTTCTTCCTGTCCCACAGTCACTGTCTAACGTTCATGCGCAGGCATTTCCTATTTGGCCATTTTTTATGTTGTGGCATCTATCTACTGCTTTCTAGTAGTGGATATATGCAAAAAAAATATGAAACTTTAATTCTACTTTAAGGCCAGAACGTTATACATTGATCTCATCAGATCAGAGATCTTTCGTGTACCATATATTTTCTGGCAAACTCTAACTTCGATATTATAGTTTTTGTGCCATTTGTCTCTTGCTTGCTTATCCAATGAATGCTGGGTTTTAGAGTTTTGGTGAATTACCTTCTGTTGTTCAGTTCTGCATATTAATAACTTATTAGTGGTTTGAGGATGTTTAAGGTTATTTTTTTTTTAAGCTTAATTGGTGCTTCTAAACTTTTTTTATTGCTATGGGCTTCATGAACTGACTGCGATCTGGCCAACAGTATCTATAAACGTTATCAACACCTATGCTCGAAACTGTTATCGCTCCCAGTATCTTAGGTGGTTTAAATCACTGTAAATGTGCGCTTCTGATAAGATTCATATTTTTGTTTGTTACCAGTATGGTAGATTTTTAAAACTTTAAAATCAGTATGCGACTGTTTTCTGCTTTGGCAATCAAAAAGGTTTTTTTCGCTATGAATAAGACTTCCAAAGTAAAGGTAAACATTTATATTTCTTTTTATATAAAGCAATGTTTGCCCAGGTCACAAGTGTTCTGGTTTATATACCGTTTAGATTAAAGCTCCAGAGTAACTTATATGTAGCAACCTGCTTTTAGACACACCTGGGATTGTAAAAAAAAAAAAAAGTGTCCATATAATAAGCTTTTAGGCTTAGAAATATCCAATAAGGTATTGCTGGTAACATGTTTTGGATGAGAGCCTTCAGAATTTAACAAGAGTTGCTGTCTACTTTTTGTGTTGCCAGTTAATTCCCCATTAACCTCTTTAATGTGCAAGTTAAAAAAGCAAAGTGTCATTTGGCTTTGTCAGTTAAAGCCCAACTTCAGGCTTGAGATTCCTCTCTTCCTCCTCCTGTGAAGTTGGCTAAGGGCTTCTTAATCATACACTGTATTATGCTTTACCACCATATTCTTCCTTTAAAGCATTAAGGTGGCCATACACTAGTAGATTTTCCGCTGCTACGAACACTCGTTTAATTATAGCTTGAATACTCCATCAAGCATAGTCAAATGTTGATTTCAGAAATCGTTCATAAGCCATACTAACCAACCAATTTTTGATGAACGACAGAAATAATTTCCTTTTGTGCATGTGCTATGTTCTTGATGGCCGAAAACCGAAAGGTTTTCCAACCTGACCGAAAAATTTCGATCACAATATCAAAAACGAAAATCGGTAATGTACCATCAACTGTTTGATCCACTTTCGAAAGGCCATTTGCATATGATTTACGAACACAAATCGTACAATGTATGGCCACCTTTAGGCAGATTTCAACTTTCAACTAATGAATAACAGTACAACATAAACACAGATTTTAGATAAATCCATTAGATGAATTAAAAAAAACAATTTTTAAAAGGAGCCCACGAATGACCTTAGGGATGCTTTTATAAGTTTGCCCAGAGGTTTATATATATGTACACACATTTATATAACACAGTTTTCATAAAATTTAAAAATGTGTTTCTACCTGTGAATACAATTTTTAGACTCCAAGTATGCCATGCCAGAAGCAGCATCCAAAGCAAATTTCACTAATTGTTTAGTTTTCATGTCATCCTTCTTCTTCCTTAAAAATGACAGGAAATCACCACCTAGATAAACAGACAGATGGACAGTCAGGATCCATAAAACAAGACTTTAATGAGTCTCTCATTAGCAACTTAAATAGACTGACAGAAGCAATGAGTACAGTTAATCAAGATGGGAAAATCATTTTTAATAAAGATTAATCCTGAAATATTCGCCTCATTATTTTAGAAAGCAGCCATTCCAACTGTCCTTGACGTGCTCTCCAAAATAAACTTTTTCTTCCAATAATTACCGTATATACTCGAGTATAAGCCGTCCCGAATATAAGCCGAGGTACCTAATTTTACCACAAAAAACTGGGAAACGGCATACCACTAAAATAAATTTTTACCACATAAGTAATAAAACTATTTGTAGGCTAAAGAGCAGAGCATAGTTGTATCTGTATATGAATTGCAATCCATACAAATAGTTCTAAAGATCAGGACATGTCCTGTAAAACACTTTAAATTCAAATGTAATCCTTGACGGCCTGAAAACCCTGAATTAGAGAACTCAGAGAACTCTGGGCTAATTAAAAATTGTTGTAGTGTAAAATAGGGAGCCAATATTCATTTTACTTTTCATGCAATACAAAAGTATATGTCTAGAATTTGACATCAATAATCTTGTGATTGTCCCCATTTCTTGCATAAGACAGATACAGTGACCAACATGGGGCTTCAAACTGCATCATAGGAACTACTTTTTTTATTGTACTTAGAGAACTATGAGGTTAGTGCTTTTCACTCACCTCATAGTTCTAGCCGGCCTGTGACAATGAGACTGTCACAGGTCGGCTCAGTAGATCGGGAGGTGAGCGAACACATACCGGGTTCGCTCACCTCTCGATCCTGTCACGACTCTCTGCCGTGACAGGGGGAGGGGCTGGATTCCCCTCTCCCCGCTCCGATCTGCCAGCGCTGACTGGCGGAACGGACGGGGGAGGGGGCGGGTACAGCTGGCTCTGCCCCAAATAGGCAGAGCCAGCTGTCACTCACGCAGCTGGGCGGATCCCGTCATCTAAGTCGTGATCCGCTGCGGCGTCTCAGTATACCACGAGCTGTAGCTCGCGGTATACTGAGCTTAGGGTAACGGGAGGACGCTAGTTTGTGTCCTCCCGTTACCCTAAGGAGAACTATGGGGAAAAACACTGACCCCATAGTTCTCCTTTAAGTAGGCCGCATGGCAAATTTCCACACCTGGAATGTGCACAGTGGACAGGGTCAGAATGAGAAGTTCCACCCAAGTCAGAATTAGGTTTGCATCACTTTGAGCAGCACAGCTCCTCGTGCCTGTCCAATTGTATCCTGGTTGGGTGATTCTGCATCTGCGGAGTCCAGGAATGAAGAGACCAACCAAATCACCCGGACCTCCGATGTTGATCGGGAGCCGAGACTCCTGTAATGCAGGGTACCATGTCACGGGGCCTCCCCAAATATGTACATCAGATGCTACATCGACCTGACACAAATAACCCCTTCATAGACACATTGCAGATGCCAGGAAGGATGAGATTGGAGTTGAGACAGAAAACCAGGTAAAACAGGGTTTTCACAAGCTAGGCATATTTTCAAAATGTAACTACATCTTCCAAACACATGTTCTTAAATGAGAACTATGGGGTTCTTTTTCTTTATTATTGCATTCCTTAGGCTAAAGGAGTAAATAGTGTAATTTACTCCTATAAGCCAAAATGCACCCTGAGCCTGTAAACCCTTCTTTAACATGCTGGGCGGGGTTAAGCGCCGCAATGAGGAGAGATCCCGACAATACTGTCGGGATCCCCCCCAATGATCTACGTCACTGTGACTGACAGTGATCGCTGAGAGCTGCTGCGTGTCCACGAATATATGGACATGCGCAGCAGCTCTCCCCACGCAGCTCTCTCCTTACCTACACGTCCCGTCGTCTGTGCCCGCCTTCCAGACACGCTGCAGTGTAGCCTTGGACCCCCCTTCCCTCCTTCATCTGCCCCGCCTACTCCACGTGCTGTCTGCAGGGATCCCCAGTGACACAATTCATCATATATGGACTTGCTCATATGTGGTAAATGATGGAGAGAGAGAGGGCTCCTTCCCCTCTCTCTCCTAGGATGTCAGTGTGACACAGGGCAGGGAGAGAGGGGGGAAGGAGCCCTCTCTCTTCATCATTTACCACATATGAGCAAGTCCATATATGGTGAATTTTGTCACTGGGGATCCCTGCTGATCGGATGCTTGCTAGTCTGCATGGATCTCCAGTGACATCATTCACCATATATTGACTTGCTCATATGTGGTAAATGCTGAAGAGAGAGCCCTCTTTCCCCTCTCTCTTCAGTGTTCCAGTGATTTTAGGATGTCAGCGTGACACAGGGCAGGGAGAGGGGAAGGAGCCCTCTCTCTCTCTTCATCATTTACCACATATGAGCAAGTCCATATATAGTGAATGTCGTCACTGAGGATCCCTGCAGACTGGCAAGCATCCGATCAGTAGGGATCCCCAGTGACATGATAATTCACCATATATGGACTTGCTCATATGTGGTAAATGATAGAGAGAGGGCTCTCTCACTGTCGCTCTGATGAAGGATCCCTGTGCGGACCCGAAACGTTAGCACCGTATGACAGTATGTGACATTGAATAAACATATCAATACTTTAAAAACCCTTCAAGTGTGTGCCAGTGAAATACTTGTATTTACTATTAGTGTTTTGCACGGCGCCATCGGTGTGGTCACCTGGGCACCACATATACCTTGTGGTTTTGAGACCGTGGCAGTGCGAATGGGATTTGGACTTTTTTATGCGGACATCCAGATCGCTGATGAGAGAAGGGAAAGAGCACTGAAAGTGCAGGGAGGCTGAGTCAGCAGTTCACTTCTAACCATCTATTGCTGCTGCCTTTTCACTTGAGACTCCGCCTCCCGCTCCCAAATCCCAGCGTGCACTCTCTGACAAAACACAGCTGTGCACGATGAGAGAACGCACGGCCACATCAGTAGGAGAATTTGAAAAAAAAAATCTAAGGGCGGGCTGGATCAACTGTTAACGCCCCCTAAGAGGAAAGGAGCTTGGAGCAGGGCTGGAAGTGGCCGTTTCCTGTGGGTTTTGATGACTTTATCTGTGATGTGCTGTGACTTCATAAAAAAGGAAGAATGCTAATATAATAAAAGGTAAGGAGTATTTTTATTTGCCCTCAGGTCATAATTCTCCTTTAATATTGTTTTTTAGTCAAAGTTCCAAAGTGATTCCCATTATCTAATTAAACCTCCTCATGTTAGCAAGGTACTTTTTTTTCAGCACAGTTCTGTTAAAATTAACTATTGTTGGGAAACACTATTTCAGATTTGAGCTTCTGGACATATCAGACACAAAAGAAACACTTTGACAATAAGCTTTACAAAAAGGAGAACACTGGCTGGTAAAAAACGTGTAAAAAGTTCTGCACTTTCATTGTGAATGCAGAAACCACATCTAAACAAACATTTTGAGACAACTAGACCAGACAAAATCTGGAGCAGTTGCCCAAGGCAACCAATCAGCTTCTCTGTTTAGTTTGTTCAGCAGAGACTTGAAAATGAGAGATGCCGATTGGTTGTCATGCACAGCTGCTCCAGATCTTGTCTGCTCCAGTTTTTATGAATTCCCCCCACTGAATGTTAATTTACTAGCAAGTTAAAACATATTTACAGCCCATAATTTCTTGTGCAGTAGCTCTGTGTACATCATTATGTTTTGTGCTAGATTACATATACTTAGTAACCCACTGTGTTAAGTGAGGGTTTGAAAACTGTAATAATAAAAATATACATTAGAACTTCCTTACCAAGGTAAAGCTACTTATGTTTCACAATAAAACAGGATAATGCAGGGTTATTAAATAGATTTAAGAGCAGACTGACTAAGTCTCCAGCATATTAAGTTGGAGTGTTTGTGAGAAGGATTTGCATTTTAATTGCCATCATCCTCACTTTTCATCCATTGTGCCAGTGCAAGATTTTCCTTCTTAAGGAACAGATTCTCCTCAGGTTATGACCTTAATAGGTTTCTTTTCTTAATGACAGCTCCTGGTACGTTCCACCTGCTTATTCTTAAGCTACTGTTCAGCTGTTAATGTGTGTGAGTTTTAAGAATTTCAGCTATATTTTATCTCATGGAAGGTCGTTCTGTAAGGAAATTTTAAAAAAAAATTCTGTAACCTGGTTTTCAATGTTTACAGAACCAAAAAAATTAAAAAGTAAAAAAGATAAAATATATATGCTCGTATGCATAGATGACAAGAACTTAAAGTATACAACAATATTATGACCAACTATTATACCCCTCTGCAAGTTAGTCTATTACCAATATACAAAAAAGGAAAATTATATATTCATGCCAAGTCTTGCCAAGCTCCAGTACTCTGCTTAAGACTGCATTATATTAAACATGGTTTTGTACTGAAAAACAAACTCTTCATAAAATAGCTCTAAAGAATAAAGTTCTAATTAATTTGCTTAGTTAAATGCATAAAACGGCCATTAAAGTCCATATTGTATGGCATTATAAAATCCTTTCTTAGTGCTACGCTTTCCAATTATATAGTATTTAGCTACTCTGTGTTTTCATGTACTACTAGATGAAAGTCATAAGCAGCAAGAAAATGTCTTACAGACTCAATTTTCCACAAATGACTTTTGCAACAGAATGTTCTCATCTTTTTAGTATTGATTTATTGGCGTTCCAGCTTTATAGTTGGCTGAAATAGTACATGCTATTGAGCAAGGCTGTGTCTTCATAAAAATATAGATCATTCAAGCATGATAAAAGCAAAAGAACACCCTGCACAGGTCACATGTAATTAAACTGCAGAATAGCACTAACCTTATTCAGGAAACAAAAAATATTTATTGGCATAAAAAAATGGTTTCTTCAATTATTTTCATAGTTTGTATTGTACTATAAACCAATATAAGAAAAGTAAACAGATAAAATGCTAAAAATCTGAAAAAAAAATATATATTTTTATTTTTTTTTTCTCCTTCCAGCCTCTGTATTTT